GGTCCTTACCTTGAGGAGCTCAAGAATACTGGAGGTGCAATAAAGGAGTTTGTTAACCCAAAGTAATTCTCTTTTTACCATTACATCTTACTAGATATCATTTTCTGCTTTGGGATTGCAATTCATGGTGTTTGATTGCTTGCATCAATCAAGAAATTAAGTTTTCATTAGATCAGAGTTCTATTTGATGTACAAAATCAGTTTTTCTCCAAACTTTTATTGTTGCTGCAGAGCACTGCTTGCCTTGACTGAATATTTAGTGCAACTCAAGTGCAGTAGAATGATTCTGTAAATGAATTAATAATGATGATAGTTCAATAACTGTATAAGTGGATAATGAGTGGAAAACTTCGGAGAATTTTCATTGTTTACCTAAGTATTCTGCTCAAGGAGATTGCTAATGAATGAGAAGATAAAATTTAGTATTACACTTAGTAGGAAGCTCCTAGTGATCTTGGATTCCTTGGTAGGCTAAAGAAGTTGAATTTAGTATTACTGCCAATTATGTGAGAAAAAAATATTCTGGGCTTGATCCCAAGTTATTGAAGTTTTGATGCGTATATGTCGTTATTTTAGCTTCACAAGTCCATGCTTGTAATAAATAAGAAGGTAAACCTGAAATTATGTCGTGTTGTCATCTCATTTTGGTGCAGATACAAAGATTCTACTAAATCTTTATTCAAATCCTCAACTAGGCTTGAGTGTATGATGCAAGATTATCCAAAAACATTGCCTTCATCTGCAAGAGTCGGATTTACGGTAACTTTTTCTCCTTAGATTTTCAGCACTCAAAATTCAATTTTCTTGTCTTGGCTTGGGCTTATTCCTCTTAATGGGTCAGGCCTTTTATATTTGAGCTAACAAGAATTGCTTTTCTCATGGTTCTGTGCTGTTACTCTTGAGGTATTCTTATTATTGGCATAATCCTTACTAAATGACCAATTGTTATGTCACTGCTTAGGTGATGGATACATGGCTTGCTTACGCACCTGTAAAGAACAACCCAGAGGATGCTGCTAAGGTATAAATATGTTTTGATGATCCTGAATTGTTCTTGGAGTCCATTATATTCTATTAGAAGCTCGTCTTAAGTCCCTCATAGGTTTTCACATTAGATGGTGGATTCAAGCGAAGTTGAAAATGAATAGTCTTGCTGCAACTTAGATATCAACATTTCAAAATGAATTAGGAATTCCAAATATTCTTGGGAATTCTTGATTTAGAATTTTATTGTTTGAGGTGGAAAATTTTTCAGTGGAATAATAAAGTTTTTTATCTTCCTCATTTTAATCTCTATATTAGTTTGACCTTTCCTCTTGGATGCTTGAGAAGTAAGTCTTGAAGTTTAAAAGATCATATACATTACATTGGTTGCTGGTCCTTGTATTCGTATCTGGATATGTATAATTTTTTAATTTAGACTATTGTTTTTTGTCTCTGCTTGAAAGAGCTCCTTCAAAATCAAGGATGTTTGTGATTACATTATGATTGTTCACAGAGATATGCTGCCAGTGTTCTAATATTGATTAGTGGAAGTTTGACTGTTATATGGAAAATTGTAGCAAACAATTACATTACATCTTCTTTTAGATTTTGTTAGTCTCTAAACTAATTTTTAGAATCTTTGATTTTTTTTTTCAATATATTCATACATATGCATGATTTATTTAACATGGTGGCTTTCAATAGTTACTTAGCTCCATCTTTTTTCCATTTAATATTTCATAGTTGGGGAATGCTTTAAATTTTTGGTTGGGAAGATTTCGCTGACAATGGATGTGTTTCTGCTTTTAGTTCTGAAATTTATACTCAAATCTGCTTTTATCTTTTATTGCTGATTCAGGGATTGAAGTATCAGTACTGATGCGTCAAGTTTCATTCTTTTTTTTCTAAAAAATTGTTTTTAATTTTATGAAGGTGCCAAAGGGAAATCCATATCATAGTGCAACTTCTGGAGAAACGGCCATCTATCGAGCAAACAGCCTAATTCTGAGAAAGGTGATTGTATTACTCTATTGTTTTAAGTATTAGAATCTTGCTCTCTTTCTCAAACTAATTTGTTTGAATTTCTAATATTTTCTATATGTCAGGCTGGCGTCCAAGTGGGTGATCCTGTGGAAGAGGTCTTCAATGGCCAAGAGGTAGAAGTGTGGCCTCGTATCACATGGAAGCCAAAATGGGGGCTAATATTTTCAGACATCAGAAAGAAAGTTGGCAAAAATTGCTCCATTTCTGAAAAATCAACATTGGTCATCAAGGGCCGTAATGTCTTTCTCGAAGATCTCTCTTTGGACGGAACTCTTATCGTTGATGCTGTTGACAAGGCAGAGGTATGTGTTACTTCAACTTCATACTACTAAATATGGAAGAAGAAGCTGGGAATGAAAAAAAGAATGGCTGATGTGATGAAATTTGTGTATATTCCTTTGAACAGGTGAAAGTAGAAGGTTCAGTGCAGAACAAGGGCTGGACAATTGAAAGCGTCGACTACAAAGATACTTCAATACCAGAAGAAATAAGGATCCGGGGTTTCAAAATCAACAAAATCGAACAGCTGGAAAAGAATTATAATGAGCCTGGCAAGTTTAGCTTGAAGCCTTGAAAGTGAACACATACAGGGAGACAAACGTCCTCCATCCTTTTTATTTTATTTTATTTTAATTACTCTTATCTGTTGTTATTAAGCATAGCATTTTACCCATTCATCGGGTTAGGAATAAATCTCATTGTTCCTTGCGTAGTTATTATTTATAAGTTGGTCTAAAGCCATTTTTTTGTTTGAAGATGATGATATTATCCTCCTTAAGGTTAAATTTCTTGGATGAATTTTTTTAAGTATTTTAATTCTTTCCCATTCTAGCAAAGAATGAGAAAATTGTATAAAGAGAGGCGAATCTTGCCCTTGTAGCTTGAACAGAAATCCGTATGCCCTTCTTTTTTTTTTTTTTTTTTATAATTTTTAATATTGTTAATACTCCGGGATTTGGTTAGTGACATTGAGTTTAATTTAATAATAATGCTACGGACATCGGAATTGTGTATCGAATTTTTATATTGAATTACGTGTTATCACATTCAGACTAACCACGTATCACCATTAACAAATATTTTATGAGCGAACGGTCGTTCATTAACTATGGATGGTTGTTCATTGTTATTAGATGGTAGTCTATTATATGTGGACATTTAGCCATACGAAAGGAACGATGGAGTCCCGTTTATATTATATGGATGAAAGTCTATTTACTATAAATATGCATCCATATTTAATGGATATTTGTTCAAACTATAAATTAAAAAAAATTAAAAACAAAATTAATAAATATCCGTTTAAATGTTACGGATGACCATCCTTTAATAATGGACGGATGTTCACTGTTATTGAGTGCCCGTTAAAATTATGGATGCTCAGCTAAATTATATAGACGGATCTCCGTTTTCAATGGTGGTGAAAGAGAGGGGAATGCTGAAAAAGCATTGAAAAGATGTGAACGTGGGTTGAAACGTCAACTTTAAGTCTTAAACAGTGAAGAATTCTTTGGTTTTGTGTCTGAATGTGGATAATATATGGCTGCCTCATGTTGATTATGGGAAATGTGCATGAATAGTATCTTTATTTTAAAGTTTTCTTTTCACATAAGTATATTTGCTTTACATGTATTGTGTCATCCTTTTATTTTCTTATTAAAAAATATAATATCTAAATGTAGTTAAAAGAAATGATGTGAAGTGTGAAAATGGACACTAGCAGCATCTTCAAGTTGATTTTTTTTTTTTTAAATCTTTTTATGTCAATGACTGGTTTTAAAAATATTTTTATGTCAATAGACGGCCGTCGACAGTCAGTCCATTGAATATGGATACCCATCCATATAAGATGGACGACATCTATTTTTATTATTTTATAAATTTATAATTTAAATTATGAACGTATGTCTATTCTAAGTAGATATCCGTTCATCATTTTTTTTGTGAACACTCGTTCATTTATAATGACCGACTATTCATCAAATATGGATAGATGTTCGTAATTATTGGATAACTGTTCATTCAAAGAATATGTGTTTTCTCGTAACATTTGACTGAATATCACGTCCTTCGATGCAAAAATTCCCATGATTCTTAATTTAGATGGTATGTGTTCTTGACAATGTTCAGTGCTGGCAGCCTGGTTTCTGCAACCTTTCATTGACGGCAGAATTAGAAAGCATCCAATCGCCTCGAGGTTGACGGCAGAGACAAACTGTCATTTATGATTTCCAAAATCCAAGTTTGTTGGCTCATGTGTCCCTGTCTCGTTCCCTTCACTAAAATTTGAGTGGCTCTTCGTGTAGAGAGGCTGTAAACGTCTTTTATACAGTTTGGCCTTTCCCTCAAGCAAGGGATTTTGGTTTTGTTGTAAGAATAATAGACAAATGCAGTACTTCATATATTCAATATTCATAGTTCCAACAGTGTTAATTTAGACGGATATCACAAGCTTTACTAAATTAAAATTCAATTTAGAGAAGAAACTTTATCCTTTACACGAAAGGTCAATAAGTAACGGAAATTGTTGTGAATTTTCATGTTAGTTATTCAAACAAGTAAATAATATTTAGTTTATACTTCTCATACAGGTTCCTCGCATAACCTTCAAAATAATAAACCATGAAATTTTTAATTAAAGAATATTCATATAAAATTATATGCGGAAATCTGACTGCCTTATTTATCCCAACATGGTTTACATGGCACAAGTCCAGCCTTATAAATTTAGAGAAGACTATTAATTAAGCCACATTTTTTAAGTCAAATAATTGATTATTGATAATTAGAATTCAAAGTTCTAGGTTATTATCAAAAGTTACAAGCTAAGCCTGAGGACTTATATGCATCAATTTGTCCCTTTCATTGTCATTGTAATTGTGTTCTGCCTCCACGAAGTTTCTCTGTAAGTTCTTAACAAATAACACGCTCTATACTCGTCAATTCTTCCATAATTTGTACTTCACAATTGTACAAAAATGACTTCGTAATTTTCCAATTCTACGATCAACTTGTGCATGCATTAGTCTATATATATATAGAGTTTAGCTCTCTCTTACACCAAACATTTGCAAGCATTTTTGCAAAAAAACAGTTAAAACGTTCATCGGTGATCATTGAAGTACTTGCCAATTGCCATTATGTGTCCCCTTAACTCAGCTGACTTGCACAGGATATTCACAAAGCTCGACAAGAATGGCGATAACCTCCTGAGCCTGGAGGAGCTGAACTGGCTTCTTGAAAAGATTGGAGTTCATTACAGCCTGAAAGAGCTCGAGTCATTAGTCGGAAAACGAACCTTAGACTACAATCAATTCTTGTTCTTCTGGGGTTCCATATCGAAAAGGAATAGCAGCAGCAGCAGTAATAATGGTAGTGACCATGAACAAGAGAACGATGATGATCAGACAGGTGTCGTTGATGATGTCGACGAAGAGTCTGACCTAGCTAAGGCGTTCAACGTGTTTGACATGAATGGAGATGGGTTCATTACTAGCGAGGAGCTTCAGAATGTTTTGTCGAGACTTGGATTGTGGGATGAGAAGAGTGGGAAGGATTGTAAAAGAATGATTTGCGCGTATGATACCAATTTGGATGGTGTTCTTGATTTTGAAGAATTCAAGAACATGATGTTGCAGACTAGTTCTTAATTTATTTCTGTACATAGGACTTTTCTCCAACCCTTTAGTCAGCCTGCTAGCGAGCATAGAATCTGACATCCGCATATTTTTGTTACTGTTCATGTATATATATTATTCGGTTCTTTTTTTTCCTTTTAATTTCTTTAAACCATTGGCATTTCTGGAAACTACTGCGGCTGCTATCAAAGAATCAGCTTAGAGTATATAGCAACATTAACTATATATTGAACTGCTTCATGTTAATATGGCATTCAGAGTTCGAAATTCTGCTCATAATGTTTATATATGTGATATTTATAAATGACCATTCTAATTGCATAATCTTATTATGTCAGCACGATAAATTGGTGAAATTGTTCTTTATAATTTTTTCCCTAGTTAATACATTTTCTTAGATTCTTAAAAAAAAAATATATATACATATATCCTTAAACACATATTAAAGAAGGTTACCTCTGCATAGTAATAATTATCTGTATATTACAAAAAAATATATGTTATGTAAAATTAAAGGTTTAAAATGAAATAAAATATTTATTTAAAATTATTTGGGACAATGATTTATGCTTTAGAATTTTTATCACATCTTTTACCTTACGAGTATGTAATAACTCGTTAGCATGTATACCTTCTTGTTGAAGCTAAAATATTTTTAGTTTCTCAAGCATGTTTAAAGTTTCATGACACAAGACTTTTTGTATTTCTGTACTATCATCCTTAGGATTATTTTCTTTCTCTTCTTGTCTAATTGCAATAATGATTTCTCATTTGATTAAAGCATACACGATTTATTGTTCATTTGGATAATCGAATGAGACATTAATATCTATTCGATTAGTATAGTGAAGTTGTCGAATCTGATCACTCAATTCTATAGTAACTTTTTTATTCTCCTAATCCACTTCATTTGTAACTTATAATTCATTGACATTAGTGGTCCTAATTTTGCAGCGATTAAAACTATTGACAATTGTTTGTGGCTTCACATCAATTGACCATGCATCAATTGCATTTACAAATCCATCAAGGACACTTATTTTTGCTGGTTCTAAGAAACGATCTTTTATCCGTTTCAAAAATAGGCAATTGAAGCTCTAAATTGAAATCCTAATATTACTAAAATATGAATTGAAATCCTAATACTGTACTACTAAAACATGAATTATAAAATAAGAAATTAAAACTATATTTTTTGTAACTACACCTCCATTAAATTATAACATCTTTATTACTCCTTATAGTAATAAAATTAATTAATTTCACCATTATGACTATACAGAGATTTTACTGTATTATACTTACAAGGAAATCTTATAAATATTTTCATATAAAGAGGTGACAAAAAATGAATGGAAGGGTAAAACATAAAGTCAAACTCATTAAATTCACTCTTTCATTTATCTTTTGTCACATCACTTTATATAAAGATATTTATAAAATTTGTTTATAAATGTAGGATTACTCTTAAAAATTAGAACCTACGAATATGAAAGCAGGAATCACTTGTTGAATTCGGCATAGATATTATCCTCTTTCTCTGTCTTTTAAAAAAAGGGGAGAATAATTTCTATGATGGGATTTAGTAGACTAAGTTCGTAATTTGTGCAAGGCAATATTGNGCGAGCATAGAATCTGACATCCGCATATTTTTGTTACTGTTCATGTATATATATTATTCGGTTCTTTTTTTTCCTTTTAATTTCTTTAAACCATTGGCATTTCTGGAAACTACTGCGGCTGCTATCAAAGAATCGGCTTAGAGTATATTGCAACATTAACTATATGTTGAATTGCTTCATGGTAATATGGCATTCAGAGTTCGAAATTCTGCTCATAATGTTTATAAATGTGATATTTATAAATGACCATTCTAATTGCATAATCTTATTATGTCAGCACGATAAATTGGTGAAATTGTTCTTTATAATTTTTTCCCTAGTTAATACATTTTCTTAGATTCTTAAAAAAAAAATATATATACATATATCCTTAAACACATATTAAAATAACCTTATTTATAAAGATAATGATATATTGGAAGAAAATTAATTGATGAATCTTATAACATATAATTAAAAATTCAATAATACAGTAAAACCCCTTTATATTGATACATTATATAGGAATAAACTCTTCGTGATCATAAAAAATTTTAGTTTTAATTTGAGATAGATATAAATAAGAATAAACTCTACATTATAATAAGTTATAGTTTTTCTAATTCCCGCATTTAGGAAAGTTGCCTCTACATAGTAATAATTATCTGTATATTACAAAAAAAATATATGTTATTTAAAATTTAAAATTTAAAATGAAATAAAATATTTATTTAAAATTGTTTGAGACAATGATTTATACTTTAGAGTTGTTATTACATCTTTTATCTCACGAGTACGTAATAACTCGTTAGCATGAATACCTTCTTGTTGAAGCTAAAATATTTTTAGTATCTCAAGCATGTTTAGAGCTTCATGGCACAAGACTTTTTATATTTCTGTACTATTATCCTTAGGATTATTTCTTTTCTTTTCTTGTTTAATTGCAACAAAGATTTCTTATTTGGTTAAAACATACACGATTTGTTGCTCATTTGGATAATCGAAAGAGACATTAATATCTATTCGATTAGTGTAGTGAAGTTTTCGAATCTGATCACTCAATTCTATAGTGACTTTTTTATTCTCCTCATCCACTCCATTTGTAACTTACAATTCATTGACATTAGTGGTCCTAATTTTACAACGCTTAAAATCATTGACAATTGTCTGTGGCTTCACATCAATTGACCATGCATCAACTGCATTTACAAGTCTATCAATGACACTTATTTTTGCTGGTTCTAAGAAACGATCTTTTATCCTTTTCAAAAGTAAGCAATTGAAGCGATAAATTGAAATCCTAATATTATTAAAATATGAATTGAAATCCTAATACTGTACTACTAAAACATGAATTATAAAATAAGAAATTAAAACTATATTTTTTGTAACTACACCGCCATTAAATTATAACATATTTATAGTAATAAAATTAGTTAATTTCACTGTTATTTATGACTATATAGAGATTTTACTATACTATACTTACAAAAAAATCTTATAAATATTTTTATATAAAGAGGTGGCAAAAAATGAATGGAAGAATAAAATAAAAAGTCAAATTCATTAAATTCACTCTTTTATTTATTTTTTATCATATCATTTTATATGAAGATTTTTATAAAATTCTTTTATAAATATAGTATTACTCTTCAAAATTAAAACCTCCGAATATGAAAGCAGGAATCACTTGTTGAATTCGGCATAGATCTTATCCTCTTTCTCTGTCTTTTAAAAAAAGGGTAGAATAATTTCTATGATGGGATTTAGTTGACTAAGTTCGTAATTTGTGCAAGGCAATATTGATATTCCAAAGAGGATATATGGTTCTGGTAACTTCTAGTAAAAAATAAATCAATCAATACCCACAGATTTTTTTATTCGGGCTAATTTTCCTCCCCTCCCCTTCCTTTTTTACTATGTGCTGTGTATTTTCTAGTTGCTCAGCTCATGACAAGACTTTCCTCTCAGTAATCTGCAGAATAAACCAGTTGAAATAATTTATTGTAGCGTATGCAATATCTCATCATCTGAGGTGATCATATGCCGATAAATATTTTCTTCCTTTTCTTATTCGAAAAAAACACATAAAAGAAAAGAAAAGAAAAGTCGGCTATTGAAAATATGTTAATATTCACCTGTGTAAATAAACCACTGACAAGAAATTAATCAACATAGCAATATCAGAAAACTACAAGGTAATATTCTGAGAAACCTCATTGCCATATAATATTCCACCAAAGACTTTGACAATTTTCCTGATATTATTTTCTCGGATGCCAATCACATCGTAGAATAGTATTCGATTTTTTTGTGTGGTAATTTACTCGGTTGATTTTTCTCATCAGCCCCACTTGCTTTAATTCTTGTTTTTGAAGTTTATCACAAAATTAACTTTCTCAAAGATTCCAATTTGTTATTCCAAGTCCTGGAAATGACGAACAAGTCAAATGTCAAAATTAAATTGATTGAGATGAAATTTTGGGCGGTTTGGATTCATTATCAACTAACTATAGTTTCTTCTAAGAAATTTCCAGTTTGATTATCTAAAGTCTAAACTAATACTTTCATTAGTCGGTCAATTCGAAGTTGCACGGTTGGTCATATCAAATTATTAATCAAAGTACACGTACGGATAATTTTTTACTGTTCTTCCTAGAAGAAAAGGAGAATTTGTGTACGTTTTGATTGAATAATTTGGCTCTTGGCATTTTCCCTGAAGATGTCACTTATCAAGTAACAAAAGTAAGAGATTATAACATGTGTTAAGGGCTAATTAGTTAATTAATTATTTAATAATGGTGAACGTTATGCCTAAAAGTAGTAGTTCAAATCCTATACTCATAATTAATGTAAAAACAAATAATTGTACCTTGACTCTAATTTAATTTATCACAAAGGAGTCCCCCATTATTGTCTCTTTCCTGAATTATTTTATCAAGAATGCGGCTTCATTGTCAAATTTTATTAATTAATTAGGATATATAGCCGACCTAACCGGCTAACCCTTCATTATTTAGCTGCATATTTGCCAGTGTTGCCACATGTTTCTTGATAACATAAAAAACTCTATTTTTTTTTTTATTATCCAATTTATTCTGATTAGTTTTATGTACATTTTAATTAATCTTTCGAGACCTTAAAATTATCAATCGAATAAGAACATCAATAATTACCCCTATTAATGATTGAAATAACTCAGTCTCAAGAGTATATGAAATTCTTTTACCATCCGGTTAGTTAAAAAACTTTACTTCACAAAAGGTTTTTTAATTACTAATAGTATTTCAATCAAGCAGTAAATTAGACCATTTTTATTAGTTTTAAATTCATACGACTTCTTATTAATTTCCCATAATTCTTTAATTAGAGACAGACAACTGGCGCCTATTTTTGCCAAATTTCATCGAGTGGGACAAAGAAAGGAAACAAAAACGACAATGGAGTCGTGGACACCTCAACTATCAGTAGCAGAGACAAAGATGAGAAGAAAACCTTACTCCATGAACCTCCATTTGTGGCACCAAGCAAAGCTACTTTCTAGAATTCTGTAGAATTCGGATATATATATTTATATCTCAGAAAAATCTATATCATAAAGTTAAATATATTAACAAACCAGATTGATCAAAACTACGTAATTCTCAGAAAGATAAAGACCTGATTCGCAGGAACCTTCATGCGAAGCTTCCTCCATTGCTCTAAACCACATCATTTCTTCGTCTTTGGGAATTATTCAACGTCATATCTCGGAGTCCCGTACTTCTCAGGACACGAGAATTTGTTGACGCCACTCTTTGTGTCTATAAATACCCAGTTAGGTTTTAGTTTTAGTCACGATAAATGTAGTACGTACGTGCAGGCATTGTTTTAGTACTTATTATTAATTTGATATCATTATCGTTTAACTCATCAACGTTATGGCTCCGTTTAACACCAACGACTTGCAGAGGATATTCGAAAAGCTAGACCGAAATGGGGATGGCCTGGTGAGTCTTGAAGAGCTCAACTGGGTTCTCGAGAGAATTGGCGTTCATTACAGCCTTGAGGAGCTTGAGTTACTGTTTGAAAAACCGACTCTCGACTTCGATGAATTCTTGTTCTTCTGCGATTCGCTTATATCGAACCAGAAGGCTACGACTTCAAGTAGCAACGAGAATGAGGAGTCTGAGGAGGTGGAGAAGGATGATGATGAAGAAAGTGACCTTTTCGAAGCATTCAGTGTGTTTGATTTGAATGGCGATGGTTTCATTACTAGCGAGGAGCTTCAGAGCGTGCTGGCGAGACTTGGAATGTGGGATGAAACGAGTGGGAAGGATTGCAGAAGCATGATTCGTGTTTACGATACAAATTCTGATGGAGTTCTTGACTTTGAAGAATTTAAGAACATGATGCTTCGCACCATTTCTTAATTTTTTAACTATTTAATTTCTTAGCAAACTATATAAATATGTTTTTTAAGTTATTGCAAAATTAATAGCCGCACTTAGTATGTAATATTATTGTTTTGTTTAAGCGAATTTATTTATCCCATTGTGCTTAATTTGTACACTATATAAAAGAAGTTATGTTTATGGCTTATAGTTATATATATTAATTAATTAATAGTGTTTATATTTACTGTGTATAGTGTTTGTAATGAATAAAACTAGATTTTATATGAGGTTGTAATTTTCTTTTAATCGAATTATGATATTTAGCTCTTGCTGTGATTTATGGTCAATATTTATTTCTTTTACTGATGAAATTTAATGATAAATACCAACGTTACGTAAATAAAAATAAGAATAGGTATATCACGTAATGTTGCAAACTTTCAACCATAAAAACACAATCAACTGGTTCAAAAGACAAAAAACCAATTAGCTACTGATCAGTAACTAAACGGTAGAATATTTTGAGTCTAGGAGTGTGCAAATCCGGATATCTGATCCGAATATGGCATTTCCTGATCCGATCCGAATTTTCGAATAAGACTATACCCTGATCTGAATCCGATCCGAATTATGCGGATATCCGGATTTACAGATATCCGATTATTCAGATCAGATAATCGGATATCCGAATGTGATCCGAATTTTATAATTTTCTTTTTAAAATCAAATAATTCTAGAAATAAAATTGAAATTATAATTCCCTTACAATTACATGATAAAAGTATCTAAAAAATTTAACATGAAGCACAAAACATTTAACTTATGTTGTCCAAACACTGTCACAGCCTAAATGACTATGCTATCTTCAATTCTTCATTGTCAAATCCTACTCACCTCACACATGGTTTCTTGTTACCAGATTGACCATTGTATCTGCACTCTCTGGTTGACAATGACTGTGATTTTGAGCCACTAACACCAGCAGATTTGGACCAACATGCCATCAAACCGCGCAACAAGAAGAACATGAAAATATGAAATTGTTGGGCGTAAGGCTCCACCTGATGTGTCAAATTATTAAAACAACTAGCTGAATTGACCAACTGCCTAAATTGTTATGCTTATCTTCATATCAGATGGCTTTGTCTCCCTTAACTACTCGTCATCATCCTGTACAAAACAAAACAAATTAAAAAGTTTTCAGTTTCTCATAATATTCCTTTTCCACTTTTCTATCAGCAACCATGCTTCCTTCCACAATAACAAAGCCAGGAAAATTCTCCAGTGGATTAGATTTAGGGGTCAACATACAATACCCATATACTTTTTCGTGTGATAAAGATTAAATTATAAAAACAAAGTTTTATTGTAGTCAAATTTATAGATTAATATTTATTGTAGCCTCAGGGATATATGACATGAACAAAATTCAGCAACTCTAATTCTAAAGAAATAACTTACGATCGATTGGGGCTTCAAAGTCAGAGAGATTGAGATCTGACAGAGTTGAGCGAGAGAACTGGCCGTGTGCATGTTCGAGCGAGAGAGACCGAGGGAGTTGAGCGAGAGAGACTGAGATCTGAGTCTGAGAGAGTTTGAGTGGCTGAATGTGTGTCTGTCTGTCTCGTGTGTGTTAGAGCGAAAGAGACCGAGAGAGTTGAGCGGAGGAGAGTGACTGAGTGAGAGACTGAGCTGAGATCTGGTCTGAGAGTTTGAGTGACTGTGTGTGAGACTGTGAGGTCTGTGCGACTGTGCGTGACTGCGTGTTCTAGCGAGGGCAGCGAGAGCCGAGAGAGACTGAGAGTGAGAGAGACAGAGAGTGTGTGAGGTCTGTGCTGTGCATGACTGCGTCTGCGTGTTGCCGTGTTCCAGCGAGAGAGACTGAGAGTGAGAGACAGGCTTCAGCGAGAGCCGAGAGAGACTGAGACGAGTGAGAGTGAGAGAGACAGGTTGAGTAATTGAATTAATTGTGTTAGACTTGGGTTATTGTTAGTTGTTACACTCAAAACGACGTAGTTTTGTAAATCCGACTCGAATTCGGATATCCGAATTTTTAACATTCCCATCTGAATATTCGGATTTTTTAAAATACGAACCGTATCCGATTCGAATTTTCGGATATCCGGTTTTTTCGGATCGGATCCAGATCGGATATCGGATTTTTTTGCACAGCCCAATTTTGACCCCTAATTATTATTTTCATCTGAAAATTAACCCATAAACAGACTTAGAATTACACTGGTTGGTTATGCATATTAGAGCAACTATAACATACTGTATATCAAATTATCATATGTTATCATGCTTACATTAATTGTATATATTACTGATGATTTAAAATGTATTTTACACATAATTTTGTCACTAAGTTAATATATTCCTGGCCATTCTGCCACTTATAATGGCACGGTTTTCTTTTTTTCTAATTTGTTTGAAAAAAGACCATCTAGCAATCTATCGTGTAATATACCCCAAAGAAATCAGAAGATATATATAGTTGTTTTAACTATATATATCTTTGATTTTATATGGTCTAAATTCAAAACACATGTTTACGAATTAGAATACTTAGAACTCAAGGTTTGTCGTATAGGGAACTTGGGCTAAGTCTTGACAAATTTATATGGTGTAAATTGAGTCAAATACTAAACTTTTTTTCTCGAGTAAAATGAATGGAAATATGTTTTTTTTTTTTTTAATTTTATCTTTCGTTTTGATATATATATAAGATAAATCTTTAACTAGTTTTAATCACAGAATCTTATAAAGGTCGCCAGACTTTCATAATTGAAACAAAATATTTTTCCAATTCCAAAATTGACAGGTCGTAAAACAATACAAATAAAAGTTTAGGGTTTAGTAGTCAAAAGTGGTTGAGAATTAATTGATAGAATGTTGAACGTTTACAATTTATTATTTTCAACTAGCCAAGTCTTCTCCGGAACTCATATAGAAGGAGCAGGTTGGTAGATCCAAAGGGTCTTGTTATTAATTGTAAATAATATAAAAAATGAATGAAAAATATAAAAATTATATGATTTAATAAAATTAAAATGTTTACTTATGGATATACTAAATTAGAATTAAATGTTATAGTTCAAGCACAAACTTTGGTTTCTTATATAGGAGATGACTTTGCATGAAAATGAACTTATTTTATGACGAAATAATAATTTTAAAGTAACATACATAATTTCCTAACTATTGTGCCAGAAATATAATGAATAAAATAGCAAAATTTGGTGACATTTGTGGGCCTGAAAGCTCTGATATCAGCTACCAAAACTTTCTTTATGGGCCCATTGAGGCCTGCTCAGTCATCAACATTCACAAACAGGAATGTGTTGTCTCACTCTGGCACTCTCTTCAAAGGTTAGTTGAGAAAGCAACCAAAGCAGTTTTAGTTTAGTTTAAAAGGAAGGTCTCCATGAAAGAAAAGAATCAAAGCCATCAACAAAGAAAAAAAGTTTTATGCTTTATTTATCAGTTATTTGCTAATATGCTCAACTTTAGAGTCTGCATGTTCTCAACCCTCTGGACAAGCGCCAAAGTTTTCAACTTTTATTTTATATTATTGCAACTGTTGAGCACTTACAGGGCATTAAATTAATAATGTCTTGAAACCATTCTCTCAATCTATAATAATCTTAATTAAACAGTGTAATGCGTTCAAGATCTATCTCTACTCTCGTTACTTGTTAAAAATTAATATTAAGATTTAAGAATTACGACAGTCCTCATGAAGAAGAAGATAAAGCCAGACATGAAACGCACGGGAGAATTCACCTCTTATCACATCACATGGAATGTGATGTAAGAACTAAACTAAGTAACAACTGAACTCTCCCTGTCCCTTTCCCTAAATTCCCGCTAAATACACCCAACTCTGTCCATCCCCTCTTTTTCATTTCCTTGTCTGTTGTCACCCTATTTCACTTCACTTCATTCGTTTCCTTTCCTTTTCTTTCCTCAGATTTTCCCGAGAACCAATCATGAAACCGACTCCAACAATAGATATTTTTACCTCCCCGAACTTCATCAAGTTTACAGCTTTAGCCCTCCTCTCACTCTCTCTTCTCTTCTTTACCCACCGCTTCTTCTTCTCTTCGACCGCCACTACCACAACAACATTCTCCGTTCCCCTTCAGCCTCCACCGCATGTCCTGCCGCCTCCCCTGCCCCCGCCGCCGAGGCGGAATCCGGTGCCTGAAGTGGTTAGGACTGGTATAGTGGATGAAACCGGCGCCATGTCGTGGAATTTTGAAGTTGGAGAGTTTTATGTAGAGACAGATTCAGTCGGTGAGGAGTTAGACAATGTGATTGCGGGAGATGAAAGAGACGTAAAGAAGAAGGAAAGAAGGAAGGGTCGTGTTGTAAAATATAAAGTGTGTGAAGATAGACTGAGAGATTATATACCGTGTTTGGACAATGAACGGGAGATAACGAGAGTGGATAAATGTGAACGCCATTGTCCTCTAAAGGTCTTGGAGTGCCTTGTGCCGCCTCCAAAAGGGTACAAGACTCCTATTCCCTGGCCCCAGAGTCGAGATCAGGTAAGTTTGTGGAGACAATTTTCGTTTCTAATGTTGCTCGTTTGGGTTTAGTTGTAAATGTTTGTTAAGTATGTGATTGTTCAGGGGTTATTGTTGGGTATATTATCAAATTTTGGCAAGGATAGTTATGAGAATGAGACCAGAAGCTGCTTACAGCTAATCATTTTGATTTATGTAGCATCTTAAGATACACTATACTACCTTTTATTCTTGTGGAATTTATTTTCTTTAGGTGGATTTTTTTTTTTTTTTTGGTTAACAATGAGATGTGATGATAAAAGGTGTGGCTCCGTAATGTGCCCAAAACACCTCTGGTTGAAGGTAAAAGAGGGCAGAAGAATTGGGTGAAAGTAAAGGGTGATAAGTTCATTTTTCAAGGAGGTGAAGCAAAGTTTCCAAATGGAGCAGATAAGTATTTGGATCAGATTTCACAGGTTGGCTACGTCTTTTAAATTCCACCTGGATTTATTCTGTTGCATCTGCAAGATGTTGAGGGTGTTTTCTTGACTTTGTTGTGTAGATGGTTCCTGAAATTGCATTTGGCCACCACATCCGAGTTGCATTAGATGTTGATTGTGGATTAGCAAGTTTTGGTGCCTATCTGATGCAACGTAATATAACCACTCTGTCAATAGCATTAAAAGATGTACATGAGAACCAAATTCAGTTTGCACTAGAACGTGGTGTGCCAGCCATGGTAGCAGTATTTGCCAGACAGCGCTTGTTATATCCAAGCCAGGCTTTTGACTTTATACATTGCTCAAGATGTCGAGTTAATTGGACTCATGATGGTATACCCTCTTATATTGATGTATCTTAGTACTATAGACCTTTTTCAGTTTAAGTGTTGGAGAAGTCTCGGATCAGCATCAAGATGTATTTCTGTATATACTTGACAATGTCAAGCTACTAACAGTTTTAATCTCATGTTTTCAATTTGAATATATTTTAAACTGTGAATATGATAGTTTTTGGTAAGGCTCTTATGTATTGATGATCCTTTCTTCTTTGTTCTGTGATGAAGATGGCATTTTACTTCTTGAGGCCAACAGGATGCTAAGGGCTGGAGGATATTTTGCTTGGGCAGTGGAAACTCTAGACAAAGATGGAGAGATTTTATTAGAGAAACAGAAAGGTATCTCATCATGCAAATAATATGTTTGTATGGAATTCACTATTGGTTACTTCTCCAAAATATTTTGTTCTGGAGTTGCATAATTTTCAAAGTTTACACTCTGGAGAATGTGGAAGGCTTTTCCTCTGTCATTAGCACCATCATCATCTTCTTTTATCTCCCATGTTACAGTATTGTTGAAGATGAGAATTGAGCTTTTCAATCACTTGAACTCATATTATGGCTCATCTATGCACAGATATGGAGGACCTTGCTGCTCGGATTTGCTGGGAACTTGTAAAGAAGGATGGAAATATTGCTGTATGGAGGAAGCCATTAAACAATAGTTGCTATATCAACCGTGCAGCTGGAGTGCAACCTCCAATATGTGATTCCAATGATGATCTGGACAATGTTTGGTATGCTCTGCTTCACACCTTTAGGTTCACTTTGCTTAGTGGCTTAACATATTTTCAGATGAATGATATTTGATGCATTTACCTCTGGTCCTGTTTTTGCATATCTTTTGAGGAGGGTAGAAAATTTGGATGGATTAAGTGTAATCTCCTGAATATAAATTATGAAGCTGTTGGAGGAGAGAAGCCGTGGACAATGTTGTAACATGGTCAAAATTATCTGAAAAGTTAACACTAGTGTAATATATAACTATATGCAATTATGCTGTATGTGTGCACAAAAATCAAGCATAATTTCTTGTGCAGTTTGTTGAATTAAACTATTGATGCACTAACTCCCTTACCAATTTTGGTGTCCTGCAAGAGATCTGTAGAACTTCCTTATCTAAAGATTGAGTTAGATTAAAACACATAATTTACCAGCCATGTTCTGTTCTTTTTTGTAGGTATGTTGGATTAAGGGCATGCATCGCACTTTTGCCAGAGAACAGTTATGGAGTTAATATTACTACATGGCCTGCACGGCTTCATCTTCCACCAGACAGGCTCCAAAGCATAAAAATGGATGCCGACATATCCAGAAAGGAAATCTATAGGGCAGATTCGAAATATTGGAATGATATAATAGTTAGTTATGTTCGTGCTTTCCGCTGGAAAGAGATGAAACTACGAAATGTGATGGACATGAGGGCTGGACTTGGAGGGTATCATATTTACAGTATTGGCTGCTTTGTACTTTATTTTTAGAGATCATAAAAACGATCGGATAGAGCTTGGCTGCAGTGCATAAGGTGTTCTGTTCCGATTCTGAAGTAAACATACTTCATGTGGACAAAGACAACTTAGCATTAACTGGAATGTTAGAAGGTTTTACCTTCTTAAGTTGCCTTTATCTGCATGACATACTTTAGTGCATAAAAGATGGAACAGTAGCCAAGGCATTGCCTTGCATTCTATATCTTAATATCATGCGTGTGTAATTTGTTGGTCATTTTGACTATATACAGGTTCGCAGCAGCTTTGCATGATCTACAGATTGATTGCTGGGTTATGAATGTTGTACCTGTTAGTGGTTTCAACACCTTGCCTGTTTTATATGATCGTGGACTTATCGGTGTTATGCATGACTGGTATGAATGATACACATTCTTTTCTCTGCGTTTTGAATTTGCATCTTACTTCATGCTTGATAGATTCATGGCATTTTTTTTTTTTGTATACTATTTTTACAGTCATTACATCTAAATTATTTAAACTATCATACTGGTGAATCTAGGATTATTTTGTTCATTGATATAACTTGGGCTGATCCTCAATTCTAGTGTTAATTCTGTTTTGAGTTGGTGCCTCTATGGACTTCTCTTGAGGGGAACGGCGTTTAGTGGAAAGAAAATATACTCATGGGTGGAATACAGCAAGGATAGCCAATTATCATGAGATCTTATATGAGCTATTTCCTTCTGCAATTATATTTTCACCTTTCATGGAGTTTTTCTTTTTAGTTTCTTAAAATTGAATAAATTTTCGGAATGGTAAGATTACAAATTATTTTGCGGGAATTTTTTCAAATCTTATTTCATTATGCTATAGCTGACTTCTTGTGCTTTACTGATGTATAGGAGGTTTTATTTTCCAGGTGTGAGCCATTTGATACTTACCCTAGGACATATGACCTATTGCATGCAGCAGGTCTCTTTTCTGTAGAGCAGAACAGGAATAAGTAATTATCTTTCTTATCTATTTTATTAAATGCTTAAAAGTTGAAAGCACATCATTTAAGGTGCGAAGTGAATATATTTTTGCAAAAATTTGTGGCTGGTGCAGATGTGATATTTCACTTATCATGCTTGAGATGGATCGGATGCTAAGACCAGGTGGACATGTTTATATACGAGATTTGGAATCTGTTATTGTTGAGCTTCAAGAAATAGCAATTGCTATGGGATGGACACCGGCATTGCACGAAACTGGTGAAGGTCCCCATGCAAGCTGGAAGATTTTGATCTGCGAGAAACGAATGTAACATGCTTGATTGAATTAAACCTGATAAACAACATGAGATGTCGTTCGGCCGTTTGTAGAAGGAAGGGAACCTGGTGAACATCTTGCAAGAGAGGTAGGTAGCTGCAACAGTTGCCATGATATCAGACTAACTATCAATATATAGCTCATATTGAATAATATGGTAACAGAGAATAAAAGTTAACATATTAGTTGCTTTAATTACTTTCTCTTGTTCTGAAAGTGTAATAAATAGATTGAAATTGTAATTGTTGATATAGACAATCCAATGTAGCAGGAATTTTGTATGAACACAAAGATGCAAAAGAGTTCTTTATATGCAAGTGTAATCAATATTTCTTTTTCTTTGATAACGTTCCCCATCCATGCGGTTCTTCTAACAGAGTGTTCCAATATATGGATTCAAACGTAACGTTACGTGACAAATAACTCATACCCCATCTCAGAAAAAGAATATTTCTTGCTTTAGATCATGACACCAAGAAAACAAGACTTGCTTAATGCGACATGCTGAGGAAAGACTCCTGGGCCGCAGCATTGACCTGTTTGGAGAGGTAAACTTCGTAGATTTCCACTACAAGGCGAGGCTCCGTTTCAACAAGCTCCATATACTCATCCCTTCTAGTGAAATTGCTCATATTGTCTGTGATCAATGATAAAGCTGCACGAAGTAGATGTTTTGCGTTGTGTTGGTATGCAAACACGTAGCTCATGATAGAATTGTCCCAGTTCAACTTGGATACAAGGAACTTCTCACAGTATGCTTTAAGATGCTTAACCTCGTATTTTTCAGCCAATTCTAAAAGTTCACAGGCCATTTTCTCTTCAAGACATACTTCACCGGTGTACATATAGTTGATAAATGCACAAAGAGCATCGTATGATGCATCACTGATCTTTACTGTGCCACTCCGCTTTTCTTCCATCTCATTCTCCAGCATCGCTTTGAACACTGGCGAACGATTCACCTGTTCACATAAATAAATTAGGGCGGCAAATGAAAATTAATCATGACGATCAAGCAACGATACTCTGCAAACTAGAAGTGCTTGACATTGCGGAGTGCGACAACATTAATTATGTAAGAAAAAAATTATATTGAGATTCTTTATTTTTGAGTTCGCGAAATGGCAAGTTTCCATCCTTTGTTTCATAAATTTTATTTAATGCAACGGTCAAAAAATAAAATGGTCATTACACCCACCCCATTCCGAACCACGACCATGGTTGTCCCACCCCTCTCTCTCCCATATCCAATTAACTACCTAACATCATCCTACCATTGCCGCCTCCTCGGTTTTTTCTGCCCATTCTTCTTCTTCTTCTTCTTCTCCACTTTTCCCCATCTCTTTCTTCTTCTCTTCCTCCTTCTTCCCTCTTCTTCCGTTTTCTCCCTTCTTGGAATAGGCTCCGAGGCGGCTGGATTTGGCCGCCATGAGGCCATCACGTTGTGGCCAGTTAACCGACAACTAGATCTAGTCGCCGCAAGACACCAACGCCAATCTCCACCTCACTCAGTACCAACACTCATCATACCATCCCTTCACCGTTGAACGCCTATTCCGGCGTCCTCTAAACCTCTTGACTCCACCACCTTACTCCTCTCAGCCTACACATCAAAACCCTTATCACCCCCCATCTCATTGAGCCACCAATCGCCAACCATCGCCCTCTTTTGGTCTGCACGCTTCCAAGACTTTTCCAGTCGATCCCAATGTCGAAAACCGACCTTGACCCCGCTTTTCTCTCCATGGGCACCTCCTTTCAAAAACCCCCAACACCCTAAATCTCATTTGCTCGTCGATCGTCGGAATCACACCGTTAGGAATTTATGGGATTGTCGCAGCTTTCCACCTAAATTCCAGCCGCTCCCTGCACTTCAAATCTTTCCCAACACCAACAATTGCATTATCACTCCTCCCAAACCAAAACCCCCATCAACCCTAACACCTGTTGCTCACTGTTTGCCGTCCCACATTTCCAATCCGGGTATGTAGGTAAGTTTGTGGTTGAATTTGTGGCATTTTTGGGTGGGTTTGTGGTTGTTTTTGGATAGGTTTGTAGGTGGGTTTGTGGTGGTTCGTGGCTGGATTTGTGAGTGATTTAGTGGTGGTCATTTGGTGGCGATAGGGCTGACTTTAGGGTTTAGAGGATTGCGATGGTGGTGGTGGTGGTGGTGACTTTGGGGTTTTGGTCGTGATGGTTGTGAAATGTGGTAGGTGGTGGTGGTGATGGTGAAATCAAAAGTCAAAGGTAGAATGGTAATAGCATCCGCTACAATTGTATTAAAAGTCAAAATTCATTAAAGTGTTACTTTTAGGGTGGGGATATGAAATTTATGAAAGGTGGAAAGTTGCCATTTCGCGAAACCCTGGTGAAAACATGTCGGTTACTCTTTATTTTTAAGAAATTCAGGTTACTTTTTCTTACAGCACTAAAATTATTAGACAAATTAACAATAGAATTCAATGTATTTTCAACTAAGCTCATATATAGATATAGAGAGAGAGAGAGAGAGAGAGATACTGACCAAAACGGCCTTATGAGCCGGGATAGGAACGGCGGACTCAGAAGCTCCGTCCTCAGCTAGCAAAACGAGGTCGGTGTACGATGGCTGGTGGCGGTGATCAAGTGGAGACCAAAACCTTAAGAAGGCAATTTTGGCTTTATGCTCTTCGATGCAATCAATACAATAAAAGTTTAGGGTTTAGTAGTCAAAAGTGGAGAATTAATTGATAGAATGTTGAACGTTTACAGTTTATTATTTTCAACTAACCAAGTCTTCTCCGAATCATATAGAAGGAGCAGGTTGGTAGATCCAAAGGGTCTTGTTATTAATTGTAAATAATATAAAATGAATGAAAATTTAAAATTTAAAATAACGTATATATGATTTAATAAAATTAAAATGTTTACTTATGGATATACTAAAGTAGAATTAAATGTTATAGTTAAGCACAAACTTTGGTTTCTTATAAGAGATGACTTTGCATGAAAATGAACTTATTTTATGACGAAATAATAATTAAAGTAACATACAATTTCCTAACTATTGTGCCAAAATAATGAAAAATAGCAAAATTTGGTGACATTTGTGGGCCTGAAAGCTCTGATATCAGCTACCAAAACTTTCTTTATGGGCCCATTGAGGCCTGCTCAGTCATCAACATTCACAAACAGGAATGTGTTGTCTCACTCTGGCACTCTCTTCAAAGGTTACTTGAGAAAGAACCAAAGCAGTTTACTTTAGTTTAAAAAGGTCGTCTCCATGAAAGAAAAGAATCACAGCCATCAACAAAGAAAAAAAGTTTTATGCTTTATTATCAGTTATTTACTAATATGCTCCAACTTTAGAGTCTGCATGTTCTCAACTCTCTGGACAAGCGCCAAAGTTTTCAACTTTTATTTTATATTATTGCAACTGTTGAGCACTTACAGGGCATTAAATTAATAATGTCTTGAAACCATTCTCTCAGCTATAATATCTAATTAAACAGTGTAATGCGTTCAAGATCTATCTCTACTCTCGTTACTTGTAAAAATTAATATTAAGATTTAAGAATTACGACAGTCCTCATGAGAGAAGATAAAGCCAGACATGAAACGCACGGGAGAATTCACCTCTTATCACATCACATGGAATGTGATGTAAGAACTAAACTAAGTAACAACTGAACTCTCCCTCTGTCCCTTTCCCTAAATTCCCGCTAAATACACCCAACTCTGTCCATCCCCTCTTTTTCATTTCCTTGTCTGTTGTCACCCTATTTCACTTCACTTCATTCGTTTCCTCCTTTTCTCCTCAGATTTTCCCGAGAACCAATCATGAAACCGACTCCAACAATAGTATTTTACTCCCCGAACTTCATCAAGTTTACAGCTTTAGCCCTCCTCTCACTCTCTTCTTCTTTCACTCCCGCTTCTTCTTCTCTTCGACCGCCACTACCCAACAACATTCTCCGTTCCCCTTCAGCCTCCACCGCATGTCCTGCCGCCTCCCCTGCCACCGCCGCCGAGGCGGCATCCGGTGCCTGAAGTGGTTAGGACTGGTATAGTGGATGAAATGGGGCCATGTCGTGGAATTTTGAAGTTGGAGAGTTTTATGTAGAGACAGATTCAGTCGGTGAGGAGTTAGACAATGTGATTGCGGGAGATGAAAGAGACGTAAAGAAGAAGGAAAGAAGGAAGGGTCGTGTTGTAAAATATAAGTGTGTGAAGATAGACTGAGAGATTATATACCGTGTTTGGACAATGAACGGGAGATAACGAGAGTGGATAAATGTGAACGCCATTGTCCTCTAAAGGTCTTGGAGTGCCTTGTGCCGCCTCCAAAGGGTACAAGACTCCTATTCCTGGCCCCAGAGTCGAGATCAGGTAAGTTTGTGGAGACAATTTTCGTTTCTAATGTTGCTCGTTTGGGTTTAGTTGAAATGTTTTGAAGTATGTGATTGTTCAGAGGCTATTGTTGGGTAATTATCAAATTTTGGCAAGGATAGTTATGAGAATAGACGAGAAGCTGCTTACAGCTAATCATTTTGATTTATGTAGCATCTTAAGATACACTAACTACCTTTTATTCTTGTGGAATTATTTTCTTTAGGTGGATTTCTTTTTTTTTTTTTTTTTTTTTTTTTTTTTTTTTCGGGCTAACAATGAGATGTGATGATATAGGTGTGGCTCCGTAAGTGCCCAAACACCTCTGGTTGAAGGTAAGAGGGCAGAAGAATTGGGTGAAGTAAAGGGTGATAAGTTCATTTTTCAAGGAGGTGAAGCAAAGTTTCCAAATGGAGCAGATAGTATTTGGATCAGATTTCACAGGTTGGCTACGTCTTTAAATTCCACCTGGATTATTCTGTTGCATCTGCAAGATGTTGAGGGTGTTTTCTTGACTTTGTTGTGTAGATGGTTCCTGAAATTGCATTGGCCACCAACCCGAGTTGCATTAGATGTTGATTGTGGATTAGCAGTTTTGGTGCCTATCTGATGCAACGTAATGTAACCACTCTGTCAATAGCATTAAAAGATGTACATGAGAACAAATTCAGTTTGCACTAGAACGTGGTGTGCCAGCCATGGTAGCAGTATTTGCCAGACAGCGCTTGTTATATCCAAGCCAGGCTTTTGACTTTATACATTGCTCAAGATGTCGAGTTAATTGGACTCATGATGGTACCCTCTTATATTGATGTATCTTAGTACTATAGACCTTTTTCAGTTTAGGTGTTGGAGAAGTCTCGGGTCAGCGTCAAGATGATTTCTGTATATACTTGACAATGTCAAGCTACTAACAGTTTTAATCTCATGTTTTCAATTTGAATATATTTTAAATGGTGAATATGATAGTTTTTGGTAGGCTTTTATGTATTGATGATCCTTTCTTCTTTGTTCTGTGATGAAGATGGCATTTTACTTCTTGAGGCCAACAGGATGCTAAGGGCTGGAGGATATTTTGTTGGGCAGTGGAAACTCTAGACAAAGATGGAGAGATTTTATTAGAGAAACAGAAAGGTATCTCATCATGCAAATAATATGTTTGTATGGAATTCACTATTGGTTACTTCTCCAAAATATTTTGTTCTGGAGTTGCATAATTTTCAAATTTACACTCTGGAGAATGTGGAAGGCTTTTCCTCTGTCATTAGCACCATCATCATCTTTTTTATCTCCCATGTTACAGTATGTTGAAGATGAGAATTGAGCTTTTCAATCACTTGAATCATATTATGCTCATCTATGCACAGATATGGAGGACCTTGCTGCTCGGATTTGCTGGGAACTTGTAAAGAAGGATGGAAATATTGCTGTATGGAGGAAGCCATTAACAATAGTTGCTATATCAACCGTGCAGCTGGAGTGCAACCTCCAATATGTGATTCCAATGATGATCTGGACAATGTTTGGTATGCTCTGCTTCACACCTTTAGGTTCACTTTGCTTAGTGGCTTAACATTTTCAGATGAAGATATTTGATGCATTTACCTCTGGTCCTGTTTTTGCATATCTTTTGAGGAGGTAGAAAATTGGAGGTTAAGTGTAATCTCCTGAATATAAATTATGAAGCTGTTGGAGGAGAGAAGCCGTGGACAATGTTGTAACAGGTCAAAATATCTGAAAAGTTAACACTAGTGTAATATATAACTATATGCAATTATGCTGTATGTGTGCACAAAATCAAGCATAATTCTTGTGCAGTTGTTGAATTAAACTATTGATGCACTAACTCCCTTACCAATTTTGGTGTCCTGCAAGAGATCTGTAGAACTTCCTTATCTAAAGATTGAGTTAGTAAAACACATAATTTACCAGCCATGTTCTGTTTTTTTGTAGGTATGTTGGATTAAGGGCATGCATCGCCTTTTGCCAGAGAACAGTATGGAGTTAATATTACTACATGGCCTGCACGGCTTCATCTTCCACCAGACAGGCTCCAAAGCATAAAAATGGATGCCGACATATCCAGAAAGGAAATCTATAGGGCAGATTCGAAATATTGGAATGATATAATAGTTAGTTATGTTCGTGCTTTCCGCTGGAAAGAGATGAAACTACGAAATGTGATGGACATGAGGGCTGGACTGGAGGGTATCATATTTACAGTATTGGCTGCTTTGTACTTATTTTTAGAGATCATAAAAACGATCGGATAGAGCTTGGCTGCAGTGCATAAGGTGTTCTGTTCCGATTCTGAAGTAAACATACTTCATGTGACAAGACAACTTAGCATTAACTGGAATGTTAGAGGTTTTACCTTCTTAAGTTGCTTATCTGCATGACATACTTAGTGCATAAAAGATGGAACAGTAGCCAAGGCATTGCCTTGCATTCTATATCTTAATATCATACGTGTGTAATTTGTTGGGTCATTTTGACTATATACAGGTCGCCGCAGCTTTGCATGATCTACAGATTGATTGCTGGGTTATGAATGTTGACCTGTTAGTGGTTTCAACACTTGCCTGTTTTATGATCGTGGACTTATCGGTGTTATGCATGACTGGTATGAATGATACGCATTCTTTTCCCTGCGTTTCGAATTTGCGTCTTACTTCATGCTTGATAGATTCATGGCATTTTTTTTTTTTTTTTTTTTTTTTTTTTTTTTGTTACTATTTTTACAGTCATTACATCTAAATTATTTAAACTATCATACTGGTGAATCTAGGATTATTTTGTTCATTGATATAACTTGGGCTGATCCTCAATTCTAGTGTTATTCTGTTTTGAGTTGGTGCCTCTATGGACTTCTCTGAGGGGAACGGCGTTTAGTGGAAAGAAAATATACTCAGGGTGGAACAGCAAGGATAGCCAATTATCATGAGATCTTATATGAGCTATTTCCTTCTGCAATTATATTTTCACCTTTCATGGATTTTTTCTTTAGTTTCTTAAAATTGAATAAATTTTCGGAATGGTAAGATTACAATTATTTTGCGGGAATTTTTTCAAATTTTATTCATTATGCTATAGCTGACTTCTTGTGCTTTACTGATGTATAGGAGGTTATTTTCCAGGTGTGAGCCATTTGATACTACCCTAGGACATATGACCTATTGCATGCAGCAGGTCTCTTTTCTGTAGAGCAGAACGGAATAAGTAATTATCTTTCTTATCTATTTTATTAAATGCTTAAAAGTTGAAAGCACATCATTTAAGGTGCGAAGTGAATATATTTTTGCAAAAATTTGTGGCTGGTGCAGATGTGATATTTCACTTATCATGCTTGAGATGGATCGGATGCTAAGACCAGGTGGACATGTTTATAACAGATTTGGAATCTGTTATTGTTGAGCTTCAA